TGTAAGCATCACATTGGTGATTTGGAAGTTGCCCGCCCTAATGCGGGGCGGGACTATAGCACTTGCTTAACCCTTGTTCGGCAACACCTGATGCGCTGCCGCTCTTGGTAGAAGTGGGTGAGTATTCTCGCTTGCCACACGGGTGACTCAGGTTTGATCCTCGGAAACGACACCAAAAATTGATGTCGTCCAAACTCACACCACAAATATAGGTAGTGAGGCGGCCGAAGCAATAATAAAAACCCAACGCAAGTCGGGGTCAAGTCCACAGGGAGTTAGAATTGGGATTAGATATATATTTAGTGTAATTGTATGATGTGCCTCAAATTATGCTTCAACATTCTTGTTTGTTGTTTCTACTTCTACTTTAAGCTATTGATTGCAATTATAAAACTAGAAGACAATATTTTTGGTTTTGGTTGTTTTTCAAATGATAAAAGATCTAGGGTCGTGACTTCCACCTAGGTGGTTACCTAATAGGTTGTAAACTCTAGGGCAACTGGGCAAGTTTGATTGGTCTGGGTTGTAATATAGCAATTACCCAATCTATACCTCTTGATAGTTTGAGTGATTTTGCCGAATTTAACTTTCTCAAGTCCAAATGGGTATTGCACAAAACAAGTGATATATTGCTCAAGTTGGGTCTTACTATCTCTAGATTTGACCCTTTAATTGGGGCTATCAATTTCTTGAGTTCACCCGATTTCTTATTAACCAAGTTTTCCTAGACTTAGTCTCTCTTTCTCAAGTAGAAACTAAGTCAATTAGGCATGAATCAATATTTGCAACCATTAATTCTTGGATTCTAGCAAGAACTAGGCTAAATATCACTAACCCAATTACAAACAAGCCTTAAATCAAATACCCATTAAGTATCCACACTAGGGTTGGGTCACAACCATAGCTAGAAATTTAGCTACTCATGAAAAATGAAGAAATTAAAGAAGAAATTAAGATAGAATGCATAATAATTGATTAGGGAAAGAAAACCTAATGTTTAGAAGCTAATCTAGTACAATATTACTCAAAACAATAAAGAAAAATGGCTTAGGTGCTCTACACTGATACAACTTAACCTAAAAATGATAAAAAGTTCTATTTATACTAAGCTGAAAATATCTAACAAAAATGCTCATGCGGAGGTTGTGCGGCCGCACAATTCTGTGTTCAATCCGCACTTTGAGCTTGACTGGTCAACTGGGCCTTCTGCGGTCGCGTAAAAGTGGATGCGGCCGCACTTCATTTGATTGTGCGGACTGCACAATTCTGAGTGTGGTCGCACACTTGAACTTGGATTGGAACATGGCTCTCTGATTCTTCTCTTCTGCGGAATGCATAATTATGAGTGCAGCCGCACTTGTCATCCTACGGACGCACAATTATGGTACGGTCCACATATCTCTAGCCTGCCCAAAAACTGACTCTCTGAATCTCCTCTTATGCGGCCACACAATAATTGCGTGGTCCGCATACTCTGAAGGAAATCTGACAGTACTCTTTCATTGTTTGCGGTCGTACACAGTATTGTGTGGTCCGCACTGTAGGCCTTTTTGCATTGTTTTGGTCCTTGTCTAATCTCGACTCCTATATGAGTTGATTTTGACTTCTTTGGCTTGTTTCCCAATATTCATGCACGAAAGCACATTTCATTAGTTCTTGGGAATACCTTTAAGCTATTTTGAGCTAAAACGCAAGTAAAAGAGAGCAAATAAGCGCTCAAAATCCCTACTTATCAGATATACACAAAACCCTAGACCTGGCAACTTCGAAGGATGTGGAGCTTACTGATCAGGCTGAACTCGGGCAACACCTACAGAGGAGGTCTAACCATCTCTCTATTTGAACCTGCACACATGAAATGCACCATCCCCAAAAAAGGGACGTTAGTACGAAATAATGTACCGAGTATGTAAGGCAATAAAATAACTGAAGGCTGAAACTGAACTGATAATATAATAACTGAAAATAATTAGGAGTCAAAGATGATCTGGAGATATACTTACCTACTGATACTGACTCAACTCTCTCAATATAGTAAGTAAAATAAATGTCCGGCCCTATAAAGCTCGGTACGTGTAACTGCTTAGCCGTAGTAGGCTCACTCATAGGCGCTCGGCCATACTAGGCTCTGTATCTTGGCCATTTTGGGCTTGCTCATAAGCGTTCAGCCACAGTAGGCTCGGTATATAACTTACCATCTGATCAAAGGTTGCCCAATAGGGGCATGCCCACCGATAGCTCGATGGGGGTGAAATATTGTAATATTGTATATATATAGAGAGAGCCTCTACTCTCTTGACTGAAAGAAGACAATAGTCAATTGAATATAAAGTCCTGATAAGGGAGGATATTATAACTTATGAGATTAGGATAATGTACATAAGTTCAGGAATGTGAGCTTCTCTTTATGCCTCGTTATCAAACTTATGTAGTTATGGGATCATGCCAAAATGAAGAAAGATTTAGTCTTAACATATCTTATCACAATCTTTCCAATTACCAAGTTGAACTCGCCTCTTCATACCTTAATATATAACAACGATAATAATATTATCATTAAGCTATGAAATGTACAGCTATCGCACAACGAACGACATGTTTATTTTGTATTAAAACGGACAGCATCTCCCCTATAGTCCTTACTTACTCCAAATTCAAGATAACACCAATAACACAAGAACACAACAATAACAACATATATACATTATTTTCCAACCTTATATACACCACAAAATACTACAAAATAGCCCAACACACCCCAATCTCTTCATACACAAAACGACCACCGCAGTAGTGTCAAACAGACCGAAAATGGTACGACAAACGACCAGCCTACCACCCTGCATTTTCGGGTTATCTTGAATTTGGAGGAAGTAAGGATTATAGGGGAGATGCTGCCCGTTTTAATACAAAATAAGTTTGTCGTTCGTTATGCGATAGTTGTACCTTTCGTAGCTTAATGATAGTATTATTATTGTTGTTATAGATTAAGGTGCGAAGAGGCGAGTTCAACTTGGTAATTGGAAAGATTGTGATAAGGTATGTTAAGGCTAAACCTTTCTATATTTTGGCATGATCCCGTAACTACATGAGTTTGATAACTAGTCATAAAGAGAAGTTCGTATTCCTAAACTTATGTACATTATCCTAGTCTCATAAGTTACAGTATCCTCCCTTATCGGGACTTTATATTCAATTGAGTATTGTCTTCTTTCAGTCAAGAGAGAAGAGGGTCTACATATATACAGTATTTTCAACCCCATCAAGCTATTGGTGGGCAAGATCTTATTGGGCAACCTCTGATCAGATGGTAAGTTATATACCGAGCCTACTATGGTCGAGCGCCTATTAGTGAACCCAGAATGGCTGAGATACAGAGCCTAGTATGGCCTAGCGCCTATGAACAAGCCTACTACGGCCGAGCAGTTACACGTACCGAGCCTTATAGGTCCGGACATTTATTTTACTTACTATATTGAGAGAGTTGAGTCTGTATCAGTAGGTAAGTATATCTCCAGATCATCTTTGACTCCCAGTTACTTTCAGTTATTATATTATTAGTTCAGTTTCAGCTTTCAGTTATTTTATTGCCTTACATACTCGGTACATTATTTCGTACTGATGTCCTTTTTCTGGGGACGCTGCATTTCATGCGTGCAGGTTCAGATAGACAAACAGATAGACCTCCTCATTAGGTGTTGCCTGAGTTCAGCCTGAATGGTAAGCTCCACGTCCTTCGGAGTTACCGGGTCTAGGGTTTTGTGTACGTCTTCTGTATGTATGTATATATATTATCGGTAGGTCGGGGCCCTATTCCAATCACAGTACATCCATCAGTAGGGGCTTGTAGATATATCCTGTCAGTTAGTACAGTATGTTGGGCTTGTAGGCCTTGTATATATATTTTGTTGGTTTGTCAGTTGTAGTAGTTATGACGTCCTTGTCGGTCAAGCTTTATATTGACGTTTAGTCAATGCTAGTTTCGTTTAGTTTTATATTTTGCTTCGCAAATTGTCTTGCAATGTGGCCCCATGGCCAAAGTATAACATTCTTATGTTCAGAGTCCCTTAGTCGTAAGTTGGTATGCTAGATTAGGTGAGGCACCGGGTGCTGGTCTCGTCCCCCAGGTTCGGGGCGTGACAAAATAGCCCTAGTTATATGATATGTTAGTAAAAGTGGGGAGGTGATAGATCGCTTTTTTAGTATTGTCCACGTGAATGATACATCTGCACTATCATTACAAAAAATAATTAATGATTTGCTTTTCGTTCACTCATTAAGTTTATCCAAGCTACGTGGACAAGGTTATGACGAAGCTAGTAATATGCAAGAAAGAATAAATGGCCTGAAGTCTTTGATTTTAAAAGACGCCCCATCTGCATATTGTGTACATTGTTTTGCCCTTCAGTTGTAATTGACACTTGTAGCTCTTTCAAAAAAGCACCCGGATGTGAATAATTTTTTTGATGTTCTCACCAATGCATTGAATACTATTGGAGTATCTTTTGAACACGTGGAATTACTTCGACAACACCACGTAGAGAAGCTGGAAGAATTACTTAGATCTGGAGAAATACTTATTGGGAAAGGATTGAATCAAGAATGTGGACTCCAACGACCGGGTGATACTCGTTGGAGATCCCATTTTATGACCTTGGAAATTTTCATGATCATATTTTCTTCGATTATTAATGTGTTTAAAGATATGCAACATAATAGTTCTCATTCTCTTGAGAGATTTGCAGCAAAAAATCTTTTGGACAATATTCATGAATTTGAATTTGTATTTGTATTTGTGTTGCACTTGATGTTCAAGATGTTACTTCTTACAAATTAATTGGGAAAAGCTTTACAAAAAAAAGGATCAAGACATCGTCAATACTATGAGCTTGCTTGACCTTGCAAAGACAAGAGTGCAAACGATGAGAGAAAGTGAATTGGAGTCTTTGATGAATGAGGTTTACCCATTTTCTGGTAAACATAATATTATGATTTCCAAAATGGATGAAGACTATCCAAGATCGAAGCGTAAGAAGTCTGGCATTTCTTATGCACATCACTTTCATGTGGAAATATTTTATGCAGTTATTAATTTGCAACTTCATGAGATAAATAGCCACTTTGATGTAGTGACTAGTGACTTACTCCTTGGTATGACTTGCTTGAATCCGGTTGATTCATTTGCTAATTTTGACAAAGACAGAATAATGAAGTTGGCCAAGTATTATCCAAGTGAGTTTGATGACAACAAGCTTCGAGATCTCAGTTTTCAGCTTGATAGTTTCATTGTCTATGCTCGAACATGTGATAGCAAGTTTGTCAACTTGAAGGGAATTAAGGATCTTGCTATAGTGATAGCAAAGACAAAATTGGATCAAATTTGGTGTCATGTTTATTTACTTGTGAAGCTTACTTTGATTCTACATGTTGCTACTGCAAGCGTGGAAAGAACATTCTCCTCAATGAAGCTCATAAAAAATGACCTACGTAATAGCATTAGTGAAGAATATTTGAATGGTTGTTTAGTTTGCAATATAGAGCGTAAAGTATTTGCAACTGTAAGTAATGATGCTATTATAGATCGTTTTCAAAGTATAAAAACTTGTCGAGTACAATTGTAAATTGATGGTATTTTCTTTTTTGTGATAATGCAACTAATTATTTTTTGCTTCCTAAGTCATTGCACTGTAAAAATTTATGTCATCAAATTTTATATTTATTTTAAAATCATTGGCGCATCCATCTTTCCAGAATACTAGATCCGCCTCTGCACGCTTCCTTTTGGCGCGACACACCACTTCCAAATCCAAATGCTTGGGAGTGGTTTCATTACTTTGTTCCCTGTTCTTGTTTTTCCTCTACACTTCTGTTACATCAAATCTTATCCTTTGATCATATAATTATACTCAAGTGTTTTCTCAACCTTATTATACTCGTGTGGTTCGCATGGCTCGGAACTAATTGAAATATATTTTTAAACTAAAATTTTAGTCCGAATTAATTTTATAAATGCATGGAGCTTTACAACAATAGCATAAAGCCGAGCAGCCTTTTCCAGTGTAATGTGTTATCCTCGCCTCTAGGCAAAACCTAAGTATTAGGCCTATTAGGAGTGGGATTTCAGAGATGAGAAGATTCATAAAGATTCTCATAAAGCTTTGATTAACTTTTTTGGTTACTAATTTGAGTAAGTTTTTTCGGTTTTGATAGTATGTTGCTATATAAATTTTGTATCATATGAGATGATGTTAACGAAATTAAAGTAATTTTTTGTCATTACAAATTTTAAAGTTCTAGCAATTAAAACTCAATCATTTAAGAAAAGGACTTTCATGATAAATATTGCTTGTAGTTGACCTTTGACACCACAAATTTATCTAATTATTCATACGGTGATAAGAAAGGATTAAAGGGCAAAGCATATCTTAGATTAAGATATTATTTATTTTGCAATAACAACGGAAAAAATGTTATTAAAATTAACTTATTATTTGTTTATAATTAATTGAAACTAAATAAAATTTCTAGGTAACGAAAATACATGAATAAGCTAATTTTGCATTCCAAAATATAGATACCTATATTGGAGATAGAAAAATACCAACTACTCTTTTCGTTTAGTTTTGCATTATTAAATGACATTATGTTGTTTGAATTAAAGTAGGTGAATAGAACAAAATGATATATATTTATCTAAAGCAAAACATTGCTACCTTTTTTTTTTTTTGGCAAGGACAATATCCCGGTCAATTTATGTGTAACTCGATTATTTCATAGCATATATATTTTCTTGCAATAGCATAAGTATAGAATAACTCTACCCACTAACATCAATATTCCATTAGTTTAATAGAAATATAACCCCTAAAAAATAAAAGAAAAAAAATGAAAAAAGCTAAAAACAAAAAAGGGAACCAAGAAACATTCCATTTGAAGATGAATAATAATAAAATTGCGAAAAAGGAAACCGTCATCAGCAATTATGCAGCAAGTCAGAGTCAATAACGGCCCATAGGTCCACACGCTACGGGGACGAGCGGTACGGACCACCCATTTTCCACGAGAGCCCACATAGTGGCGTTGTTTTAACGCTATAATATAAAAATACTAAACATTGACTTCTCAATTAAACCTAGTGTTATTAAAACTAAAATAAAAATAAAAAAGGCACCACCAAGGTTTCATAAGAGACAAACCTTTCTAATGATAGTAAGTTTTATGCACATTAACGATATAAAAATATATACACAATTGTTTTTATAATATTTTGAAAAATTTATACACGTAAAAACTATACTCACTTAATAGGACATTCTATTAGTTATATGAACTAACATGATAATTTAATATATTTTCACTTCAACTTGTAACTTTATTTTAGTAACTTCATGTATTTTGATGGAAAAAACGAAAAAAACAACTTTGTTTGCACCAATTAATGAATATAAAATATTTGTTCAATCATACAAAGTTTATTGCTCTATCATTATTAAATAATATACATTTAGCTTGATTTTGTAGTAACTCTTAACATTAAATTATTGAGTTTAAATAAGTATTTTGCAAAATGGATATAAACAAGTTTTTTTCCTGTAAAAATGGCGTGGGGTAGCCACTTTTTAAAATAGCATTTACTTTTTATTCAGTATTTTTAATGCTGAGCAAAAGTAGCCACTAGTCTATTAAAATTAATATGAAAAGATTGAGTTACTCTTTCCTTCCTAAACGGAAATACAGTGGGTTGGATAGATACGTCATATTCATATTCTTTCATTACATCTCATGAACTCTTCTACTTGTTCCTCATTCTTTTTTTTAGTCTATGAGTTTTCAATCCCCAAATTAAGTTTTTTGCTTTGCCGAAGCTGCTTTTGATGGAGACGGCCTTACTAGTAATATTTGATTTATGAAGAATACTTGACTTACGAAGAAAGGCAAGTTAATTTTGATGCAGAATACTTGATGATGGCGAAGGATGCAGAATACTAACAATATATACTTTCAAGTCTAACGATGCAAAATACTGACAAGGATGTCGAAGCTGATTTTGATGCAGAATAGTTGACTTATGAAGAAAGGCAAGTTGATTTATTAGTGACATTTATGATTTATTAGACATGTAGTCCTGAACTTTGAGTTACAAGCACAGAAATTAAGGACAGGTAGTCTTGAACTTAGAGTTACAAGTTCAAAAGTTAAGGACAAGTAGTCCTAAACTTAGAGTTACAAGTTCAAAAACTAAGGACAAGTAGTCCTTAACTTAGACTTACAAGCTCATAAATTTTGGGCAGCTAGTCCTCAACTTACATTAACAGGCTCATAAGTTAAGGACACTTGTGTCCTGAACTTAGAGTTGGAAGTTCAAAACTTAAGGACATTTGGTCCTTAACTTAGAGTTACAAGCATATAAATTAAGGACAAATAGTCCTTAACTTAGAGTTATAAGCACAGAAATTAAGGACATGTGGTCCTGAACTTCGAGTTCCAAGTTCAAAAGTTAAGGACATGTAGTCCTGAACTTAGAGTTACAAGTTCAAAAATTAATTAAGGACAAGTAGTCCTAAACTTAGAGTTACAAGTTCATAAACTAAGAACAAGTAGTCCTTAACTTAAACTTACAAGCTCATAAATTAAGGACAACCAGTCCTGAACTTACAGTAACAAGCTCATAAGTTAAGGACACTTGGTCAAGAACTTAGAGTTGGAAGTTCAAAAATTAAGGACACTTGGTCCTTAGAGTTACAAGCACAAAAATTAAGGACAAGAATCCTTAACTTAGAGTTACAAGCACATAAATTAAGGATAAGTAGTCCTGAACTTCGAGTTTCATGTTCAAAAGTTAAGGACATGTAGTCCTGAACTTAGACTTACAAGCTCATATATTAAGGACAGTAAGTCCTGAACTTACAGTAACACTCTCATAAATTAAGGACAGCTAGTCCTGAACTTACAGTAACAAGTTCATAAGTTAAGGACACTTGGTCCTGAACTTTATGAGCAGAAGGGTATTTTCGTCCGGGTGGGTAAAGTTTATTAAAGCAATGGCTAAAGACTAAAGACATTTTAAACAGTGGCTTAAAAGTAAATACATATTTGATTAGTGGCTAACCGTGCACTTCCCCCTTTTTTCTTCAGGCTATGGTCCTTAGAGGCGGAAGAAGCCTTTTGATAATAAGGGATTTGGTTTGATGGATACAACAACAACATATCCAATATAATTTCACAGGTGGGGTCTGAGATTTGGTTTGATAGATAAGCAAAAATAATTGTGAGATAAAATTTAGTGTGGTATTATCTCTTGTTTGGTGGCTAATTTTGGAATAAGTTATTCCAAAATTAAAAATAGTACACAGATAACTTATATTTGCCATAAATTGGAATAGTAATCACAGGATAAAACAATAAAATTGACAATCACAAGATTAATACCATATACCAAACAATCTATAAGAAATAATATCGCGATTTTAATCCCAAAATAACTAATCTCAAAATAACAATCACATTATAACTAATTCCAATATAACTTGTCTTCAAACGAAACAACACGTAAGAGTCTATTTGGTCAAGCTTCTAGGAAGCTAAAAGATTTTTTTTTAAAAAAAAATTACTTTCTTGAAAATTTGAGGTGTTTTGCTAAAATAGATAAATGCTTCTGAGCAGTAATAAAAGTAATTTTTTTGCATTAAAAATTCTAGCTTATTCCAAATAGCATAAGTTAAAAGTTAATTTTATCAATACAAATATATTCTTACCATAAATTTATGTTTTTCAAATTATCTCTCATTAATATAGCATTATTTTTATTTATATCATCCTGTTTTATTTCTACCATATGTATTTCTCTATATAATAATCTCTCTACTATAAATAGATTTCTCATTTTTTCTTCTATCAACTTTTTCTTCTTCTTTGAAATAACAAACCTAATCACCAAATTAGAACATTTTCTTCACAGGGTTTGATTTTTTTTATTGTATGCTAATTTATTTTATGTTTTACATTTTAATTAAATACTTTTATAATTTAAATTCATTTCTCTTTTTAAATAATTGTAAACTGGACCTTGATACTATCATTTTTTTCATAATTTGACATTTAAGAGTATTTTTTTGAAAAGATTGGTCAAATACAATTTACTTATCACATCGCAAAAAACATAATTAGCCAAACACAACCTAATATTTTCCAAAATTACTATTTCTAAAAAGCACTAATAAAAAAATACATTTCAAAATAAATAATTGACACCAAACAAATTCTAAGTTCAACTAAACTTAATATTTTTAACACAAAATTTACTAAAATTTCATATGATATTAGTTATCAAACCCTGCAAAAAACTTTACCGTAATTATTAACCCTTCAAAATCTCGGAAAACATCTTTTGATCCCAACAACCCAAGAAAGACTTGATTCTCTTTTAAATGGAAGCCCAGCCACCAAAATTGCGACTGCTCCCAAGTCATATCCCTCAAGTCACAATATCCTACTTTGGTTTCTCCTTTTGTTTGGGATANGACAATATTGTACTTTGGTTTCTCCTTTTGTTTGGGATAAGAGAATTAGAGAAAGACAGTAATGTCAGGAGGTATAGCCCGTGGCCGTCTTGCAGAGGAGC